TGTCCCAGAGGTGGAGTCTCAGTGAAAATGCAGAAAATCACGGTCTTCTGTGTCGCTCGCGCTGGGAGTTAGAGACTGGAGCTGTTCCTATTCGGCCCATCTTGCTCCCCATCAGGTGTCTTTTGACCTGCTCAGCATGCAAGACCAAACTGTGCTACCTTGGACTCCTTCCCGAATGTTTCTTCAGCTGTCCAACTTTGCATTTCAGCTGTGAATACCTTATTGCCTCTTCACTGAGCAAAAATGAACAGTTTTTAAATCACATCATTATGTCTTTAGCTGAATAATCAGGAAAGCTAATAATCCTCTTTAATTCCTTCCACGTAACTCTCAGTAACTCAAGGGATAAAGGCTTTCATGTTTGATTGTCTTTATCTCCAGAAAGCTGGATTCTGCATTCGGATATGATATACCACAAAACTCAGAGAATACTGAAAGCTCCTATTGGCTCTTACAATTTAAAATACTTACTGCTGGAGGAGTAGAAGATAGAGAATTGGGAAGTAAAGCCCCAGTTCTTAGGGAGTTTACCATCTAGAGGGAATGTCCTACTTTCTTCATCTTCATCTCCCTACTACTTCTCACATCTTATCTCACAGGGATCCCAGTCCCACCTTATGAGCCTCTTTCTTGACCTGTCAGTACAGCTAATAAATATAAAACAACAATAACAAATAATAGCTTACATTACTAGGTGCTTATTATATGCCAGATTCAAGTCTCTTTCCTTTGAGAGAGAGAGAAAGAGAGAAAGAAAAGGAAAAAAAAAGCCTCCACAGTCTCCTATCAAAGGGATAGTCCTTCCTAAGCACCACTCTCTGTCTCCTTCTCTTGAAGGCAACACCGATAGAGCAATCTCCAGGGCAAAATTGGATCCCACAGCACTCAATAGAATTTTCTCTTGTTAATGTCACTGCTGACATCCTAATTGCCAAGTCCAATGAGCACTTTTCTGCCCTTTCTCACTTTTGTAGATGACCAAGAAACTCTCTACACCTTTTCTCTTAATTCCCTTGATGTTTCTTTTCTTTGGTTTTCTCCTCTTCTTGTTCTTTCTCAATCTTTCTGTGTTATGGCTATGAGCAATTCACACAAACTGGGTTTCTTTATCTATAAAACAGAAATCATGCTATCAACCTTAAGGAATTCTTGTGAAAAACAATGGAGTCCATTTATGTAAAACTATACTATCAACTTTACCATGTTATATCAATTGTTTTGTTGCTATTAAGTGTAAAGTAATAAAATGTTACCTATCAGAATTTCAAAATGATCTCTTTTGATGGTTATTGAACAATGTTTTGTAACAGCATCTTAGTTATTTTTAAAAATGGATGTTTCTTTATTTTTTTTTTTATTTTTTGAGACGGAGTCTCGCTCTGCCGCCCAGGCTGGAGTGCAGTGGCCGGATCTCAGCTCACTGCAAGCTCCGCCTCCCGGGCTCCCGCCATTCTCCTGCCTCAGCCTCCCAGTAGCTGGGACTACAGGCGCCCGCCATCTCTCCCGGCTAGTTTTTTGTATTTTTTTAGTAGAGACGGGGTTTCACCGTGTTAGCCAGGATGGTGTCGATCTCCTGACCTCGTGATCCGCCCGTCTCGGCCTCCCAAAGTGCTGGGATTACAGGCTTGAGCCACCGCGCCCGGCCAAAAATGGATGTTTCTTATGTTTTTAAATATATTTTCTTACTTTAAGTGACTGAAGTACCCCCGTATATATCTGTGTACTCTATTAATTAGCCATTTTTTATTTTTTAATTAAATCAAAGTTAGATTTCAACTCAGCTCCTGTATGATTCATCCATACATCCTAAGATTTTCATAAATATGTGACTTTGGAAGAAAAAGTATCTGCTCTCAAGAGATTTGGGAATCTAATTACGAGCTTACAATGAATGCATTGTTTTAGTGTTTGTTTGAAAATCAAGTTGTGAATAAATTATACGGTCAATTACTTCAAATGCCCATCCCCAGAACATAACTAATAAGAATATCTCACATTAAATTGGATCCCACAGCACTCAATAGAATTTTCTCTTGTTAATGTCACTGCTGACATCCTAATTGCCAAGTCCAATGAGCACTTTTCTGCCCTTTCTCACTTTTGTAGATGACCAAGAAACTCTCTACACCTTTTCTCTTAATTCCCTTGATGTTTCTTTTCTTTGGTTTTCTCCTCTTCTTGTTCTTTCTCAATCTTTCTGTGTTATGGCTATGAGCAATTCACACAAACTGGGTTTCTTTATCTATAAAACAGAAATCATGCTATCAACCTTAAGGAATTCTTGTGAAAAACAATGGAGTCCATTTATGTAAAACTATACTATCAACTTTACCATGTTATATCAATTGTTTTGTTGCTATTAAGTGTAAAGTAATAAAATGTTACCTATCAGAATTTCAAAATGATCTCTTTTGATGGTTATTGAACAATGTTTTGTAACAGCATCTTAGTTATTTTTAAAAATGGATGTTTCTTTATTTTTTTTTTTATTTTTTGAGACGGAGTCTCGCTCTGCCACCCAGGCTGGAGTGCAGTGGCCGGATCTCAGCTCACTGCAAGCTCCGCCTCCCGGGCTCCCGCCATTCTCCTGCCTCAGCCTCCCGCGTAGCCGGGACTACAGGCGCCCGCCATCTCTCCCGGCTAGTTTTTTGTATTTTTTTAGTAGAGACGGGGTTTCACCGTGTTAGCCAGGATGGTGTCGATCTCCTGACCTCGTGATCCGCCCGTCTCGGCCTCCCAAAGTGCTGGGATTACAGGCTTGAGCCACCGCGCCCGGCCAAAAATGGATGTTTCTTATGTTTTTAAATATATTTTCTTACTTTAAGTGACTGAAGTACCCCCGTATATATCTGTGTACTCTATTAATTAGCCATTTTTTATTTTTTAATTAAATCAAAGTTAGATTTCAACTCAGCTCCTGTATGATTCATCCATACATCCTAAGATTTTCATAAATATGTGACTTTGGAAGAAAAAGTATCTGCTCTCAAGAGATTTGGGAATCTAATTACGAGCTTACAATGAATGCATTGTTTTAGTGTTTGTTTGAAAATCAAGTTGTGAATAAATCATACGGTCAATTACTTCAAATGCCCATCCCCAGAACATAACTAATAAGAATATCTCACATTAATTTGGGGATTATTATTTCTCATAACCTTTCCCATACAAGATCTCATTTAAGGTAAACAGCCATTCTGGGAGTGAGGAGTCCTGTTGCAAAAGTCTTGGTAATTTTGTCTGGCTCCTTGGTGAATTGTCCTGCCTGACCAGCCCCATATCCTGCCATTGTCCCCAGTTCCAAGTTGACTCACAAATTCCCCACTGTTCCCACCACCTTGTTCTGGCCTTTCTTCCAGCTCTCACCACATTGAATGGCTACTGTTTCTCTGTTGTTTCCCCAACAGGTCCGTGGGCATCTCAATGGCAGGGGCCACGTTTTTCATCCATCACTGTGTCTTACTTGAATGTGGTAGGCACTCAATAAATCTATTATACATTATTAAACAGATGGAAGAGTGGAAGAAGACCTCAAGGCACAGAAAGTTTAACACTGTTAGAAAACATAGATCATTTGTTGACTTCCTCAATATAACCCTCTTGGCACCTTGTGGTTTTTTTTTTTTTTTTTTTTTGTTTTTTAAGGCTAGTCAAGTGAAGCAGTGGGAGTGGAGAAGGAACAAAGAAATCCGTAACTGGTTGTAATTAATTAGTAGTAAACACCATTGCACTTGGATCAGCGTATTTGAGGGTTTTATATCCATCCTATCCCATTCTACTTTGGCACAGAATCAGACTACAGGAGTTTTTTTAAATTAACATTAATTTTTTTTCCCCTTGATTCCTTTAATCTACCAAAAGTTGCCATGAAAAGACTGTATATATTAGTGCAAATTTGAAAGTGATTCCAGATCATTTTAAAAATAGTTTTGTCTTCCTATTTAAGACATCTCACTTGTTTTCTTTACAATCAGTTTCAGAGTATTCATTTTCAGGGACATTTTAGAGCTTGTTCATTCTTTGGTTCTTTTTTTTTTTTTTCATTGCCTTATGATGTAATGAGAAGGACCCTGTTGTGAATTTTCACTTTATAAATTTACATGGTTTGAATTCTTGTGTATTGAGCTGCACACCATATCTTTTGCTTTCAGTTCATGTATGCACAGATTATAAAATAAATAACAAAACTATTCCCTGAAAGTTGAGAGTAAGCCACATCTTGAT